GCAATGCTGATCGACGAGTTTCCCCTGCTGATGGTTTAAACCAGCAGGTCACTCATGACTGTAACAGATGTCTCTGCATATTTATGTAAATGGAGGTCTTTCGAACCCTGGTAAGCCTTTTATTATCCTGGGCTGTATTTCATCAGTAGCTTGGATGCTGGTTTGACATAAGAACCCATAGCTTGCTAATTTGGGAGACATCTTCCTCAAGTACTCTAGATTTATCACTACAGTTTGCATTTCACAGAGAACGAGAAGAAACAAAATACTGAAAATCATGCAGCCTCAGAGAGGAAAATTTCATCTTCTTTGGAAAGGATGAACACTTTATGCTACAATTCTGGCTGAGGACAGCATCAGCTGTATCCAACATCCAGTACTGTCACACATGCCACGTATTGCCCTGGGAAGCCACTCAGTCTCATTTCTCCTCAATCCCTCATCTGTAAAATGGGCTCAAATTTCTGTGCCACACGCTGAGGAGACTGGAAGCACTGGTAGTGGTAAAGGCTTTAGTTACAAAGGTTGGCAACTGCAGGCAGCGAAAGCACCACTTCCAGTATAACTTTATAGATACTTCTTCCAGATAAACAGACCTGGATCTGAATAATTAATAAATCCCTGTGCCCATTTTTGCCTAATCATTGCCTCACAATGAAGAACAAGACAGACATTCACAGCAACAGTTCAGGCCATTTTCGTGTCTGAGTGCTTAAAATACATCTGTATCGTTGCTATGGCCATGATAATAAATCAAGAAAATTTGATAGCTGTAGGTTGAAAAAAAAAAACACTTTAGAAAGCATTTTTAAAATAGCTGTTTAAGAATTTGGTGGTAGGAAAATTGGTAAAGATGAAACCTCTTACAAAAATTCAGTTTCAGCAATGACGTACTCTGTGGTAAGATGAACTTTATTTTTTAAAAGAATCAAGAAACTACAAATGCCATTTCTGGATGTATCCTGCCAGTTTAAGACATTAATGTGGTATTTCCCACATACAAAGGGCTGCTTTGGGAAAGGGGAGGCAAGGGAAAGGAAGAGTGCTGGGTTTTGTTTGTTTTCCTAAAGACTTTTCTAATATGAATTAAAACCAGACAAAATCAGCCTGACTGCAAAACAGCCCGACAGCCCCAGAAAAAAAAGCTCCACGGCAGCTACCTTTGTATCTGAATCTCAAGCACACTGAGTAGTAGCTGGATTTACAATGCATTTTCCCTGAAGTCACTCAACAGGAATTACTTTGACATATGTGTCGGATCATATCTTTATACACATTGTTACCATGCCACAAATAACCAGATGATCCCCACTCATATATTTAAGGTTTCTTCTCTCCCACAGATGCCAGTGCAGCAATCAGATACACAACTGCAAAGCTTTTAGCCATCCAAAGTGATACACAGATCTTGGCTTTCACCCAGAGAAATCTATTCATTAGAAATTTGGCCGAGCTATGAAAGACCATACTCAATTTCATTAACTCTCTTTTTGATTTCCTTCTTCTCTGCAGATAAACAACCCAAATAAAAGTGGCTAAAAAAGACACTGTGGGGAGGACAGGAAGATACTTATCTTTTGTGCATCCCCAAGACTGATTCATAAGGAACAAACAACTAGACTTCTCAACACATTATTTTTTAAATGTAGAGATGCAAACTTGTGTAGAAAATTGCAAAAACCTTCAGTTACCACTGCGACAGATTTATTTCTGCTAATTGACAGTCTCCTTTTGTTACTGAAGACTGGAATTACCTAGATTAGCAGTTTTTTTAAAGAAATAAAGTACAGTTTATAAACAATACCAATATGCCCTGGGAGACATTTCACATTTAAACTAGCAATAACATCTTCATTCTTCACAATGCCAAGAAGATTAACAAAAAACATTTAAACATTTGTTTGAGCATTGTTTAGTTAAAACGCTTTTTCCTGCACCCAATTACACATAATGAGAAGTTCTATTTATTTCAACCTCACTTTAAAAATTTGGGTTGTGATCCCACAGATATTTAAAAATGTTCAAACATGTGACCTGAGCCAATTAAGGCTTCCCAAAGGATAATGGACCCAAAACACACCAACCCCCATCAGTGGATAGGTTGTCAAGATCCTGAAAAATTAATTTATTTTAAATAAACACTCAACTCTCAGTTCTACCAGGATAGGTTTATCTAAGGCTTTCCATATAGGGGTAAAAAGCTGTGATATTAGCTCAAATATGCCACCACTGTGCTCCTAGGGCTGCTTGGCTTTTGCTGAACTCGATGGTTCAGCTGGTGTTGAGCTGGCTCCAGTGCAGCTAATGCTTCCCTGTGCTCCAGACACAGGGCAACTTGTTTCCTGAAGTACAGCACTGGACCTGATTTGGCTCTGTGCACTGACATACCCTGTTCTCAAATTAAACCTTCCTGGAGCACTGGGAATGCTGCTAATGGGCCATGCAAGTGGCTCTGGAGATGGCAGCCTCGTGTACAGCTATGGTTCAGCACAGCACTAGCCAGGTCAACTAAGAATGGTTTATTTACAGCCCACCCCCTAGTCAAGGATTACTCTTCCTTCATCAGGCATATTTTAGCACTGTTGCCATAAATAAGGGAAATCTGGCTGAAGAATCGAGGGAAAATAACTTTTTCAATTTTGAAACAGCATCTAAAGACTCAGCTCCACTGCCACTGGTGGTCACAGGGTCCTTCAGGGCCATGTCCTGCCCTCCAGGCTAACCCCAGAGCAGGGGACGGATGAGATTATTTCAGGAAACAAGTTTACATTTGTTACTTGAAGAAGCATTGCTATCCACAGGGACTGGGAATTACCAGTCAATCTTCCCCTCAGGAAGGTGACAACAGGCCAGACATTTAGGGAAAACACCTAAACTAAAACCTAAACCTGAAACCTAAATAGGTAGCCAGGCACTTCCCACTTCCGCATTCAGCCCTGAAGACAGAAATTTATCAGATGGCTGGTCTGGCCCTTGTCTTACACCTTGAAAAAGCCTGCAAACTCCAGTCTGCTTTAATTGAGTGCTGAGAAGTTTTCAACTGCTTGGAGGGTTCTTCTGGTGGCCATTATTGTAAAAAAACCCACCATTCCCTCAGAAAAAAGACCCCAAACCCTCCAACTGAAACACACACATTTTCATTTATCTCCTGGAGAGGATGCACTGTTTACCTACTTATTTGACAAGGCTAGGCCAAAATGTCTTTTCACAACCAAAATTTTAATGACAACAATGGAGTTCACATATCTGTGCTCCCATTTTCTTACCCAAGATGGATCCATGCACCAAGGTGCATCCCTCAGGACCCACTATAGTCTACCCATCTCTGAGAAGAAAATGTGAACACAAGAACTAAAATAGACTCTAGGAAGGCACTGTGACAGCATAGCCAAATCAGTGTGTTACTGTTTTGCATATGCTCTGCAGTTTAATGAAAAACATTTCCCAAAGCCAGAAGCCACATCTCACAAAATGAGTCATTTAGGCAATCTCAGTATTTTCTGTTGAAAAGTACTTTCATCAGAAACTTTCAATGAGCCCTGCACTTCTGTATTTCTCAGATGCATCTTACCATAGAGCCAGAACAGTCAGTAGCCAGCAGCTCTTCCCCAAAGGCTAATGAGCTCTGCTTGGCCCACACCAATGCATTCCTCAGTCTTGGCTTTTATCATAGCTGCCCCTCCTTGTGGAGAAACTCCAGTGTGCTGCTTTCTCAAAATGCCAAACCAAACTTCAGGGAGAGGAAAAGAGCACTCTCTTTTCCCTCTCCCCTTGAAGTTTCTCCTGCCCTTTCATGAAACGAAAGAGTAAAACAATTTTTCTTTACAAGTATCCTCACAAGGGAATGATACCATTGCACTCCTCCTCATTACAAGGTATGGAGCATGCAGGATGGTTCTTTCCAAACTCCACCTATG